TACCTACTACACCACTCTGTCAAGGCTCCCACAAAAGCTTACCTCCTTCACGCGAGGGATATACTTCACTCCGCATTTTTCATTTTAATAATAACAGTAATAACCACATCAATAAATCACAACCGTCCCGACAAACTAGTAATCGACAAAACTAAGGAGATTGATTATATCATAGATATTGCAGTACCAGTTGACGAAAATGTACGAACAACTTACACCGATAAAACAAATAAGTATGAACAGCTCTTTCACGAAGTCCAACAACTATAAAAATCAAAGCAAACATCTATACTGCCATGTATTGTTTATGCCATCGGCATGATTAGTTAAAACACAAACTTCAAAGTCTTGAAGCTTGACCTTAACTATTTAAGGGAATGCCAGAAGGCAGCAATCCTGGACACCTGTAGAATAGTCAGAAAGTTCTTCAACTAACTTACCAGTTTTAAAAATTCTATGCATCGATCAAACCATGGAATAATTTAAGAAGCCACCAACTCTCAGCCACTGTAACTCCTTGATTTTTGAAGAAACGCGCTACTATACGAATCTGTAACAATTGTTGTTTATTACTTAAATTCAAAGTAATATTTGAAACTCATCCTGTAGCTTTCATGCTGCGTGGCATCATTTGGCCAGAAAGGCATCACCTATTCCATTGAATATGCTGCTGTAGGTTAACCTCCCTAGACAATTTTCCGGTTACGCCGCTGCTTCAATCGAAGATCCATCTAATGCATAGTGTTGGTTGCATCACGTGAGCACACGTAGCCAGTGTTGCTTTCTTGGAAGATGGAATTTTTACCGCACCCCGCTCAAGGATAAGGCATCCGATACAACCTTTCATTAGAGATGTTCGCTTTGCATGTTTCGGGCACGCTCCTGGATATTTCTTTATGCTTGGCAGATCAAAGGGCTGCTATTATGCGGTGAACTGTTTCGTGGCGTGTCTGGAAACAGTATTTCTCGGAAGGCGCTTAACAATTTCGAAAAAATTGTAAAATCATAGACATAAAATAAATTACAAGGAAAACTTGTTATTTTACCGCCAATGCTGCGTGCCAAAAATGATGTATGTGTAAAATCAGAGTGGTGCAAATTAAGTGATTAAATGTGGCCAAACTTAAAAACAATCTATTGCAACTAAAGGTTTTTTAGTGTTTTAATGTCATCATCTTCTATCTACGAATGATAAAAACATATTCGAACTAATTTAATTTCTACGGGTTAGTCAGGCTGTGGGCTTAAATAGGCAGGAGTACGCAGATCGAAACATTTCTCGACATAGACTAACCGGGGCACAAACATACTAAGATCAAAAAAATCATATATCCCTACAATTTTTTTCTGAAAATGATCAGGACCCTCTAGATCAGGGTTTTCCAACTTTTTTTTTGTTGAGGCTCCCTGGACTCTAAACTATATTTTCATGCACCCCTTTACTTTTTCAATAAATACAAAAAACGCACATTATATAGGTACAAAGACTTTTATTTTAATTCTAATACAGAAACTTTAAAAATTTGAATAAACTAATAACTGTTTTTTTATAGAAAAACTTGAATAAAATAAGAATAGGTACTAATGAGACACTTGAGATTGCATGTTCTGTACCAGTTGGTTGATTCTCGATTCTGTCATCAAAACGATTTCGCTGTTTAGTTCTGATTAAAACCTGAGCAAAAAAGCCTGACTCACATAAGTAAATTGAAGAAAAAGGAACTAGTATTCGTAAAGCAGGAGGGCCAAGTGTTGAATTAAGAGGCAATCTTTTGATCCAAAATTTCTCCAATGTCAAAAGATGGAAGTCATCTTTCATGGACGAATCAGCCTTCATTTCTAAAAATTCTTCCTGAACTTCTTCTGGTAATTGTGACACATCGACAACAAATGGATTTCTTGTCATATGCCGTATTGGTGACTCTGAATTGATATCTCGATAGTATCGGCGACATTCGTCTTCCAGTAAATGAGTTTTTATGTCAGCTTTTAAATTTGTGTCCAGTATGTTATTTTTAATTGCTTCAAACAGCCGAGAAAAAGATACAACATTTTCAGAAGACACTTTTTGATTCCAACGTTGAAGCTTTGATATGAAGCCCTGAATATAATAATAATAGTAATAATAAACCGTCTTTTATTAGAAAAACAAATTACAGATAATGCATAAATATTATTATCTATAATTAGATTAGTGAGCAGCTAATGGCGAAGTTTAGCTATGACAGCTATTCTTACACTTAACCATTAACTGCATAAGAATAATAGATGGTAAAAAAGTACAGCTGTAATGAAAATAAAAGGAGGAAAATGTCCATGTAACTGATTACAACCTAAATAAAAATTAGCTTAAAAATATAATGCTGGAGAAAAACACCTTTAAGAATCACCATTGAGCAGAAGAGCTCTTAAGTGTTTTTTAAAACTATAATCATAATTGCTTATTATAGTGTTGTTTCTGCCCCGAAGTTTCAAGTTTAGCTCATTCAAGGAGTCAAATATGTCAGTTGAATAAGCCAACCTCTATTTACGTGTGTCATCTTTGAACATTGTCAAGCAATCGTGTTTTTCTTTGAACTCAAGAAAAAGAATTACCTCTCCTTTCAATTCATAAAGGCGAGCCAACATATTGCCTTTGTACAGCCAGCGTACTTTTGTGTGGAATAGAAGAACTTTGTGATCAGAATCGAGATCCTCGCAAAGTAAAGTAAATAACCGACTGTTCAAAGCGCTGCTCTTGATATAGTTTACAATCCTTATAGCCGAGTCCAAAGTTTGGCGTAATTTCTGTGGCAATATTTTGGAAGCCGATGAATAACGCAATGTGTACTAACCATTGAGGATTTTTTTCCTTGAGCTTTTTAACTAAGCCCGATCGTACACCTATCATTGCAGGTGCGCCATCTGTACAAAGTCCAATGAGTTTCTTGCAATCCAAAGCATACTTTTCAACACAATTTGATATTGAATTAAATATATCTTCAGATGTAGTACCTGCTTTCACAGATTGGGAGTACAAAATATCTCCTTGAATGATATCTCCGTCGATGTAGCGAACATAAACTATTAACTATGCACAATTAACGATGTCGATTCATCAGTAATGGCAAAAAATGGCGATGATTTTACTTTTTTAATTATTTGTGACTTTGCCTGCTGAGAGAAATGGACTTCACTTTTTGTTCTGTATCTTCTCCTAAAATTATCTGCGTGGCTTTTAGGACACATGGTTTTATTAATTCTTCATCGATAGAATGAGGTTTCTTTTGCTTTGCTATCATAAAAGCTGTTTTAAATGAAGCTTTGAGATGCTGCGATACACCTGTCTGATAACTTCCCGATTTATCCAGTCTCATCCGCTTGAGTAATTCTGCTTTAGAAGAAAAAAACTATTTCGTCTTCAAAACCAGAGTTGTTACTTGAAATGCCCTTCAAGGCTATTGGGCCTCATGCTATAATTACTTAAAACTTTCATACATATCACACTGAGGCAATTGTAACTCATCTTCTTCTATGAAGGTATACCCAAGCTTAACGTAATCTTCGAAAAACTCGCAGCCACTTTGCACATATAACAATAAAACGAATAAGTAATAAATAAGCAAAATACCTACATGTAATTACTAATTATATGCCCATTATTTTATCTTAATAACGTAATGTATTCAACAGTATATTGGCCACCGGGAGATTTATATTTTTGTAGGCAGGTTGACGTTATAACAGTAACTTTAAATACATTTGGAATCAATATTAGGTACTTAAAGTTTGTCGTTTCAAAATTATTCCGCCACGTTGGTTTGATTGTGATTTGGTGAAAAGTCCCAATGGCCGATCTATGGACGTGTCTAAACTCAATCAACAATTTAGTATATTAAATAAAATCCCGTCCCAGGAGAAATTTTTCTCTTGGCTATGGATGTTGTGATTGTCCGTAGGTGGTAGACGGTCTCTGACTGTCGAACGTGGAGGTACCACCCGGCGGATCTCGTAGGCGGAGCCAGAATGTGTGCATGTTGCATGAACACGTGTTCCCTAGCCAGAGTCCGTGTGGCGTTCCCCCTTTCCCCTGTATCCCCCTATAGCCCCACAGTACCCAATGGGTGTTTAGGCCTTAGACCTTCGTGGTAGTTGGAATATAAAGAAAAAAATGGGAACTGAAGTTTGTAAATACACAGACTTACCTTTTTACAGTGAGACACAATAATTTGACACGATCAAACACATTTCCCAACAAAATTATGGCCGATTGCACCAACGACTTTACGTATAATTCGTTTCTTAACTTTAAGCAATCCTTAAAGGTACATTTTCGGTTGCACCAACGAAAATTGAGGATTATTCTCCGATTAAACTGTCCTTAGTTAAGTGGCAGCTAACGATCACTTAAACGGTACTTAGCGCACAGTGTGGTACATGGTTGCCAGGCTTGAAGATTTGTCGCTATATTGGTGATTTTCTTTATACTTAGCGACTGTTTTTTGACTATACAACTAGTTATTTTTCTGGCAACTACACCAAACTGGGACTATTTTTGACTACACTGATGCCAAGTACTGTGATAGAAGAGATATACTTGGTGATTTTGTCGACATTTCTCCTACCAACCGGCGAAATGATTGTCGTTGGACCTGCAAGGTGGCAATCGTGCGTGGGAAAACATAACCAAATAGTTTTGTCAAATACCAAAACAATTCTATTGTATATTTTCCTCTGTGTGGTGTAGAAGTGCTTTCTGAGGAAGGCCTTTTTGGTGTTATTGACTTGTTTTTTTTTTCGTCTTGATCAACTCCATTTTGTATTTGATGTGATACCTCAAACAGGACCTTGAGCTGTAAAGTGTAGATATCACCCTATTGAGGTTGTATTGTGTTCGTGTGAGTTACAATGGAGTAATCATATTTTTATTATTTGGGCGACTTACCAGATATTCTGGATGATGATTTAGAGCTTGTAGATATTATCGTGCTGGGACTACCCAGGCGCATTTATAGTCGGCCAAATTACTTTGAAGAAATGGATCCACTGTGTTTTTTCAGAAGGTTCCGGTTATACAAGGAAACAGTGTTGCATGTATTATCGCAATTAGATGATCTCAATTAGAGTATCATCATGACAGGTATATAAGTTGACCCACATCTAAGACAAATATCTATATGAATGCATTCATTTTAGGAATCACAGCATTTCACCAATGAATCAGCTTCTATGCTGCTTAAGGTACTATGCCAGTGCAGGTCATATTAGGCAAACTGCTTATTTTATGGGAATGGATGCAAGCACAGCCTGCAGAATTGTTGGAAGGGTATCAAGAACTATAGCCAGCTTATTCCCAAGTTATGTCAAAATTCACAATACAGAATCACAATGTCAATACTGCTCAAGAAGAAATGATTAATTATTTTGGAAATCTTTGAATGTTTCTTTTTCTCGAGTTATAATGCGAGGAATAAAATATTTAAGTTATATTTTCCCTTTTATTGTTTTTACAACACAACTATCGCCTTCAACTATCACAAACTACAGTCTTCAAACAAAACTAAAGTATAAAAACTTATAATCAAAAAACAAAACAATATTATATTTTGAATATATCACAATATAGTAGTGATTTGACTAGCCAAATGCTACAACTTAAAAACTTCCAAGGCAAATAAGTACATTAGTGATTAGCCTCTTAAGTACCAATGACAGTTTTATATTTCCAAAAATTATGACCAATATTAATATTTGTAATTAGTAGTAAATGTAAATTTTGTTTTATTTTTAAAATAACAATATATTAAGACATAGCAACATTTGTTTAAGTAGAATATGAAGAAACAACTGTTCTTGATGAGTAAAATTGTTGTGGTCTAGCCTAGTTACATCTGTAGATACTTATGTAACAAAAATAACACTTTGGTACTTAAGAGTTAAATCTCATTTTTCAAACAAAAAACAGGTATAGAATACAAAAAAAAAACAAAAAACCATTAATAAAATAGTCTTGAAAATCATGTGTCATTCTGCCTCGGGCCTTAATGAGTCTAATTGACTCTTTTTAATTTCTATGTCATATTTTAACGTTTGTACACATAATTCATGTTCAAGTCTTGTTCGAGCTTCTTCTGAGCATGGTCTGCAATAACATCCTTTTTATCAACCAACAAGTTGTATTTTTCAGCGAGCTGGTTTGATGACAGTGACCTTATGACTGTCTCAGTAGGTCCTCTACGATTTGATGGCTTGCAGGTATTAGCACGTTTGCTTGCTTGGCTTTCAGCCTTATCACTTTGTGCTGGCTAAAAAGGTTGAAACATATAGTGGAACTATTCAAAACTGTGAATGTATGTTATTGTACAAGATATATGTAGTAAACAAAGAATACTTTATCATACAGTTACTCACTTGACTGATAGATCGCCTCAATTGTGCTGAAACAGGTTTTTTCAAATCTGACCCTTTATTCCATCCCCTTGATATATCTGCTAGTTGCTCCATACTCCTGGAATTGTTTTCTTGATTCCCATCTTCCATCAATTGTGATGATTCAGTGATGACCTTAAAAATATAAGAATTAGTAAGCAAAAATGAATATCTCAACAGTGTTGGTTCCTATGTAACTCTACAACGATTCAGTCACAATTATGAATATCACACAATATTTCCACCAACTTCAACATTGAAAATTAAATAAAGTAGAATGTCTTTCCTCATATTTTAAAAATAAAGAATATACAGAATGAAAAACATTAAGAAAGAACAGCACATTTCAAGACTTTGGATCCCTTTCAAAAGACCTGTTACTATGCCCTAACCAAATCAAAAAACTGAGAAGTTATTTGATCAGAATTTGGGATCGTTGATCCTATTATAATATTTTTTAAGCTATATCTGAACATGATTAGGAATTTGCTAACTGTAAAATGTGACTCAGCATGATAAATATATAAATATGATTGATTAATAATTTAATGGTTGGATTTACCTGATCATCATCAAACATAGGTATCCATTTCGTTTTCCTTTTGATCTTCATTGGGACCTACATGTTCAATGGCCCTTACTTCATATTCCAAGGGGTCTTGATTTTTCTCATAAAGCAGAAAGCTGCTGCCTGTCCCATATGAAGTTGTTCCACCAACAACAGTGAGTGGATCCACTATGGAAAAGAGTAAATCTTGGGATGTATTACCAGTTCTCTGTGAAGGCCGACCACCAGTTTAAAGTATTTCTGCCTTCTGTTCCCGCAGCTCCCTTTTTTTATTGTCAAATAGCTTTTTCAAGTCCATTGTTCGATGCGTCCCTTCAAGGCAAGCTGTATTAAATTTCGCAGGAATTTTACTCCACGCCTGGTTCTTTTCTTGTACGGAAACGCCAGCAGTTTTTTTATTTTCCATGATCCCTTTAAATTCCGTAATTATAGATAGAAGTACTCTAGTTTCACTTGTAAAATTGGCACCCCTCTTCCTTTTTTCGGCAGCACTCATGATTCACAATATAAAACTTTGCAAAAATAAAAAATTCTTCCAAAAATTGCACCACCACCTTACGTTACAACATAACCTCAATGTGGATATGTGAAATCATGTGAAATTTCATTTTCAGCACAAAACATCTACTATTTTCAGGCAGGGCAGACAACTGCATCATAACATGACAAAATCACTAGCTTCCTGTGGAGCTGTAAAGTTTAAGGAAAGCTTAGTTAAGTAAATATGAGGAAACCCCAGAATGTGTTGGTGCAACCCAGAAAATTTTAGGCGATCCTCAAATTTTAATGTCTCCTTTGTAATTCTATCCTTAAGAAAATATTGGTGCAACCGGCCATTAATGTCACAGACGCTCATCCGCGTTTGGTAGGCACACACTTATTTGAAACAGCGGTGACAGAATAAGTGAATATGATATTTAATTTCTAATTTTATGCGTGTAAATTAAACATTACTTTGTAATGTTATTTGTTGATGTTGTTTGTTTATTTTTTTGTTTTTTCTTTCTAAAACGCAAACGTTTTCCGCCTCCCTTGGCATCTCTCTATACCCCTCTTGGTTGGGAACTCCTGCTCTGCAACGTCAAAAAATAAGTTTGTACGATTTTAATTTTTTTCGTTCTTGATCTTTTTCTCTGCCGAAACTGGACAGATTTCCAAAACGATAAAGCTTTTGCGTCCCTGGCATAGTAGAACCATTGCATAAAAGTCTCATGAAAATCCGAGGGGTACTTGTAAAGTTATAGACCGGCCAAGGATTAGCGGACAGAAGAATGAGTGAGATGGTTTTTCGTCAGGTATATATGTCATATAATCAAAACATAATATGTAATTTTCGAAATTTATCGCGATTTTAATACTTCCCGCCACTAGGCTCGGAATTAAAACTCATTAGCATAGCAAACGTTCTGTAAGGGTCAAAACTTCTCAGTTCCTACGCCTGTGGCGTATGTTCAATCACGAAGATTTTGTATGCATTGGTCATGCTTTCCGTACTATGAGGACATAATTTTATAGATGCTTATTCTGTTCACTTGGATATACTTTCTACCTTAGGAGTATTTATGAATGTTCCACAGATTCGATAAATAGATATTAGAAATTTCATAGCATCTGCTACATGAATGAATGAGACAGTCATTAAATAATTAAGTTCTTATAATCCTGTTACGAGATTAGGCATGTAACAGAAAAATTACGTGGGCCCGCAACATGGATGCATTTTCTTATGATAACAGCGATCTCCCCGAGCAATAAAATATATGCATTTGTGTCAGTAGGACTGTAAATGGACATACATTTTTTCTAGGATGTTTGGCAGCAGAACGGTTGCATTATTCGGTGATTATCAAAAATACCTCGTTTTTTCGATAACTGTAAATTCAATACATAAATTTACATTCCACCAATTAGTTGTGCCCAAAGAGAAGGATCAAATATTTAAATTATTATCCGACATCAATCACGTCACTCCTCAAGAAAGCAACAGTTTTGAACAATAAAAACGCAAGGCTTACAGCTTCGCGAATGACACCACTTTACACGTAGGTACGTTGAACGTGGTGAATAAGGGAAAACCCTTCACAAGGAACAGTTATATGATAAGTAAGCGTCAAACTCATTTTGTAAAAAAGATATGTTTTATGAATTTTACCAATTAAAAAAAATGTGATTTTTTGTAGAGAAAGCGTTAATCACTTATCCTATGAAACTCGATGTTTCATACAAATATGCTTTTTTTCAATCTAAACAAGGGTTATTTGCAATGACCCCTATCTATCAAGCAGTGAAATATCTTGCATATACATATGACGTATTTGATACAGAACATTATATTATTTTCAATTTTGTTTCTTTGGAAAAATGCAAATGAGTTTTTATGGAATTACTGGTGTATGTTTAGATAGGAATATATATGGGCACCGTAAAGCTTTTAGATAAATTTTAAAAAAGCAGCCACATCAGCTGTTATTGCTTGTATATTTTCAAGAATCATTGGCAAATAAATTGGAGGTATTTCCCCAGAATCAGTTTTAAGTATAGGAAATAGTTTTGCTTTTATGTCACTCGGCTCTCGCGCAATACCACGTAGTACCACAGACTGCCTGTGAATCTAGAACATTTCTCACCACTTCTTGTAATGACGGTATAATATGCAGCCGCGTTTACATAATCTGTTTTATTTTTATTACATCTATTGTTGAATGGCGCATAATAAGAACCAGACGTCTCGAAAACCTGCAACATCACGATTTTATATTGGCCTGTTTATTAGAAAAACTAAACTATATTCTGTACAGCTCGAGTATACAATGGATATTCCGATTGATCTTTGATATTTTATAGCTATGTTTTGGTGTAAAGAAACAGGTGTTGGTTATAGAAACAGTTGAACAAAATCGGTGTGTTTAACGTTATGAGCCATAACATAACGAATCATGTTACAACCAGTTGGCAGCCTATAACTAAACAAATTTTCGTAGTGATCTACTGTTTGTAAGTTAGGAAAAAATTATTTCGGTAATTGGAGGTACCCTAGAAATTGTAAAGGCATGTTGCTATTCCATTAGGGCCTCTGGAGGCAATTGCCAAAAATAGCACAGACCACGTTTAGTTGCAATTTCAAAAATTGAGAAATTGCAACAGTTTAAAAGACACTTGTAATAAAATGCTGAAACGTCTCCCCACATGGTGTCGGTAGCACTGCTTGCAGGCCATAACAGGTTACAATAATATTTGGATTTTTTCTGGCAACTGCTACATCTTTAGCTTTTTCTTCTCGGCTTTTAATTTTGTTTGCAATATGGAGATCGTGAGTATCTTGCAATTGCTTTTTCTTCCAAGTTTGAATTTTTGTATTCTTCAGAAGTTGAACATTGGTCTTTCTTCGGTTGATAGAAAGAAATGTTTAACTCTGTATTGAATATGGCTTTATAAGTACATTTCTTAGCAAAAGGTAATTTTTCTTTTTCCCGCTCCTCTTTGTAATATATGTACATTTGAGCTATAGTCAGAGATCCATCTATAAATTTTCTTGTTATATTTGCTCTAAGGTAATGTGATTCGATAACATGAAAACTGTTAATATGGTTTCTTATTGACTCTTGTATACTGTCTTATGACCTTTGCGGTTACCCCTTTCATCCTTTTTTACAATAATTCCATCTTTAGATTTAGCCCAAGTAGTTCTAACAAGCCTATCGCCTACACCTAACGTGTTCATAAAAAATAATGTACGAACTCTCTTTTTTTCTCCATCTATACTAAAAAAATAAGCAGTATTTTCCGCGCTTGAAATCCTCTCACTTACGCGTCTGTATTTTGGTATCATAGACTCCATGTGAGAAGCAGCAAACTGTCTCTGAAGATTATTGTCACTTAATTTCCAAAAATTATTAAAAATTGTCTCTAGAATTCCTTTTGCTGTTGTATAACATTTAAATCTGCAGTTTTCTTTACACGAACCATTCATTTTTTTTCCGGAACTTCGCTCCTTACTTCTGAAATGTAATTCTAGCCGCTATTAACTGTCTTCTTCTTTATATTTCTTTTTCATGTTTCAGGTCGTCTTATTCGTTTTCGACTATTAGTTTTAAGCTCCGCCAATGCATTTCCTTCTTCTCTTTGAGGTTCCACTTTATTTGGTTGCGGTATGTTGTTCGGCATTTGTTGCTCGTCACCTTGATCTTCATGAACATTTCCCTCAGTTCCGCTCTCGCTCTCAGAACTGTAATATTCTTCAGAACTGCTTTGAAACCTGTTTGTCGGGATGAATCTTTTATCTCGTACTGAATCGTCATTATGAGCGCCGAATCATTGAATTCATAGGTGCGAATAATTTCAAAATTCTCAGTACAGTGAGGAGCTACGTCAATTAAAATTTCTTTTTCTAATGTCTGCAACAAATAGATAATAAAAATCACGGAAATGTCCAATTTTTGAAAGTAAAATTATTAAGCATAATATTCAAACTAAGATACCTCAAAGAGAGTCTGGGATTGTGAATCTATCCACAGTTGCAAATTCTTATTTGCATTAGAAACACAGGCATTACTTATTTCCGACTCCGCCGTGACATGAGATGTTGATTTGCATGCACTGGTACTGTTGATATTTCTGGCGAATGCTAATAAAGAGAAAATATAAGCGTAAAAAGAAGAGAAGAGTGAAGAAATAAAAATGGACTACTTCTTCATTTATAAAGGTTATTGTTTAGAATGACTTTGTAAATTAGCAAATTAAGTAGACCACTTGCTTTTTTTTATTCAAAGTCTAAGTGTTAGTACATAAAAGCAAGATTAAAATTATAAAAGGCTTACCAGACTATTTAAACGTGGTGCTGCAGAAAATGTACTTTAGTCAAATTCTTTCACCTCCAAGGCTGGCTGAGCGATTAGTTATGATCTAGCACTCATTTTTAAAACACTAATTGTATTAGAAAAATAAATTATTCTTACATGAACTAACTTAACCGCCAAAACACAACTGACTTCTACCGGTTTTTGAGGTCACGTTTGTGTTTACTTTATAATAAATTCGGTGCAATAGCGCCATATTATGATCAATACGGTGGTGATGAAAATCAAAGTTCAGTGCAATACCGCCATATGTAAAGTTGTGGCAGTATTGCAATAAATGGTGAGCTGGATTTCATAGGGCCATATTTGCAAATGTAACCTAACCTTTGAAGTACAAGCCGAATGCGGCTATAAAATCAAAAAAGAAAAATTTGTACTTTTAACAAACACAAAGTAATATCAAGTTGCCTTTGAAAACAACAGTTTTTTTACTTTTGCTTACTTATTTTATTGCCAATTGACATTTATTTATTTTGAGGTCTTAGTTTTAAGATGTATAAATTAGAAAAAAGAAAAAGTATTTACAAGTTTTTTGGGCGAGTACCAAAATCTGAAATCTGTGGAATGTTCCAA